AACAAACAAAGGGAGACATGTCCAGGCTTGTCAAGCCATTTGAGTGTAGAGGTGGTGACTTGCAGAGTACACATCTCCAATTCACAGGATGCAACAATGAGGAGAAGATTAACTGTAAATTAAGCTTTGGATCACATTTTTGCTGCAAATGAGGCAGAGGACACACAGGATTTTAGCGATGGAGATGAGCAGGCCTCTGAGAACGGAGATGATGTGGAGTACCAATTGGAAGAAACAGACACAACTGATCAGTCTGAAGAGGAGGTCACTGGTGCTGAAGCTGCTCTTGCTGAATCATTCCAATCCAAAAGTGGCAACATCCATTGGAACACAGTTCCTCCTGATGTGCATGGAAGGACAGCTGCTGCAAACATCATCAAATGACCCCTGGGGTCACGAGGTTTGCTGTGACAAGAGTAAGTGACATCGAGACGTGCTTTGATCTTTTTTTGCCATTGTCACTAAAAAAAGTCATATTTGCTATGACAAACCTTGAGGGAAAAAAAGTCCATGGCAACACATGGAAAGACATTGATGAGACGTACCTGGATGCCTACATTGGTGTTCTCCTCCTTGCTGGAGTTTACAGATCAAGCAATGAACACACTAAAAGTGTCACTTTTTGCAACACATGCATCTAAACACACACATACACACACAGGCATGTTCTTTGCACAGAGTATTGATAGAACAAGAACTTGATTCTTTTGATGTGATTTTCTCGATTGGTTTTTGTTTATTTATTTGCAAATCTTTGTTTTATTGTAAATTATTATTATTTATGACTGTTCTGTTTTTCATATTGTTAAATATTGTTTTAAAGTTCTATTGTGTGGGAAAAAAAGACTTGTTTTTGCCCTTTTCTTGAAGCAAATATATACGGGTCCAAAATGACCCGAAACACCATAGACGTTACTATATTTGATGATATTAAAATTAAAATCTTTTTTTTGTTGAACATTTAAAGAATTTGTTTTAATATCTCTCAGTTACACTCAGGTAACAGAACAACTGATTATTTTGTTGCCTTCTACTCTTAAGGTTCATTTGACCACTTTTATGACATTGAAAACGAGGGGTATGCTGTTAAAACAAAGGCCCAGGGGGCCACAAAAAAATATTAATACCAATCTTTTCATGGATAAGGGAGCCCAACCAGCTAAACAAGAGTTAAGAAAACATTGGATGATAAAATATTGTTTTTAGGGTATTTTATGGCTGATTTAATACACGGGTCCAAAATGACCCGCTAACACTACAGATGGCAGCAGAAAGCTAATACCAGAGGAAGGTTAATAAAAGCATCATTGCAAACCTTTGTCACTGTGAGTAAGATAGAGACGTAAAGTGGGAATGGGTTATAGTAAATTTGTGTGAACAGACATCTCATACTGTTTTTCCTTTATATTTGTCTGTGTATATTTGAAAGCTTTCTATTATATTACAATTTGCAACTAAATAATACCATCCGTTCAGCCTTCCTTCACCTAAAGCTTAAATTTGACTTCTGACAAACCCAAATGAACAGGTACCTGTTTCCTGGGGGATATCCTCTGTTTCACAGGAAATTATGATTTCCCTGTTTGTCAAAGAAAACCATGGGGACTTGTTGCTAACAATTACAGTAATATAGAGGAAATACAGGAGACCGATGTACAGTTTGATCATTTTTATTATCACAACAATATGTGCCAGAGCAAACAGGGAGTGGTGGACACAATGCCATAACTGCTTATTTCCACAGTCAGCCTGAAAAACAGGGCTTATATGGATTATCACTGCCATGGTTTCTGATTAAAGTCCTGCGCAGGTGGAGGTAAGATATGAAAAGAAAAAAGATACAGCTTTGTTTCATTAACAGGTATTGTTTTGTGTGGATGACATTCAACTGAATCTCCAAAGTATGATATATTATATTGTATGCATACTGCCTGGATGTGACGCAACTACCAGGTATTACAAAAGTGAGACCTGTCAAGTATCTCCTGGATGCAGTAAAATGAGCAAACTGCAAATTAGACAGCAAACTGTCTAATATCTCAAGTGTATTATTACACAGTTTTGTGAAGATGAAACTAAGAGTTTTTGGTGCCTACAGAACTAGGTGTTGCAATCATTTCTATTTTTCTTCATTGTCCCATTATTTTGGGGGCTAATTCTGCATCACTACAATGGAAATGTAGCATCAGTTTTCATAGTTGTTGTTGTGATTTGCGATTAAAGCTTTATGGAGCATCACAAAATAACCATGTGACATTGTACTAAATAACATTTGGATTACAAATACCATATGAGAAATGCATTTCTTCAACAGATGTGGGAATAGTGAAGCCATATTATGGATTTTTGATGAACAGTATAAGGTGATAAATGGTTTCAGTGTTGATTGACTTTGTACGCATATATCAGCATTATGATACTTTAAACAGTTAGATGGCACTGCTGGTGACTCCTTGATATGGATGCAAACCTGAGGTCCTAAATGTGATTACTAAACCCACAGTCTATTTCCAACACCTTTGGAAGTTGAGACTTGAGCCACTTAAAACTTACAACTACAAGACTTGAGGTAGAGCTAGTAACATTTTGGGAAAGATTTTAAGCAGCATTATCAGTTTAATAAAATGGCAGCTCATCCAGCTGTGATGGAGAGACACTGAAGTGTGGACTAATGTTATTAAAACATTTAACCTACGCTGTCATTTTGTTCTGGAATCGCTAAAAGTCAAATGCTGAAATGAGAAATTTTGGCTGTTAAAGAAGTGCACACTGTGCAAAAAGTGGTACAGCTCAAGAAAATGGCTTTGACATTTAAGTGAGTGCTGTGTCTGCTGAACTGTATTTGTCTGGTGTGTGGTCTGTTGCAAATGGGTAACACCTAAAGGGGAAGGGTACAACAGCAGGACAGGGAGAGAAGAAGAGGAAGAGGAGTCAGGAGGGAGGATAATGGAGAATCCTTACTAACCTGATTATAGTGATTTTGGTATTTGGGTATGTATTTGGAAAAGGTGTGCAAGATAGGAGCATTTCTTTTTGGGAGTATGTACTTGAGGGGACACCTGGAGTAAAGCTATTCAGCGTTTTAACTCCACCAGCCATGGCATATTTCACCAGCCTTTGTTTCTCATGAGTCCCATTCCTACCCCCTAAGGGCAAGTCACAAAGTCTCTCCAACAGCAGGGGGGTTGAATTCATGAATTGAAAAAAGAACACAGCAAACTATTTTCTCTTTTTTTTTTAACTCCACAGATTAAATCTCCTGTTCACTGTATGATACTACCTCTAAAAGACTACCTCTAACACAATTTTGAAGGCAAGGTTAAACTTTGGGTATTTGACACACAGTATTTCAAATTAATCCTTGAAATGAATTAACTTCAGACACAAGTTGCAGATCTTCTAAGTCAAACAAAAAAGAAGTGTGCATGAATTTTCCTGATTCATTAAGAAATGGCAGCTTATTTCGCTGCTAGTTAAGATATATTGTGTTTCTATTTCCTCTCTTTACAATAAGACATTGACACTTCGGACTTTACAAGTCACATGGATTCATTCGGATTATTTTTTGTTGTGGTTTGTTGTAATTAGGTGCAAACTTGAGTCATTGCGCCTTTAACATCTGGGCCAGCCGCGCTGCGGGACACGCCGGCACCTGTTCCGAACGCACCGAGCCGGGGACTTTCTCTTCTGCAAGTCAACGCACTCAACTGACTCTCAATGATGAACTTGTACGTCATCAAGGCAACAGTTAATGGGTATATCGTCCCACGTTTGGCGCGCAGGAGGGCACACGAAGGAACCCGAGGAACCGAAACTGATGCGGGACCTGCACACTGACAGAGGGGGGGCATCTGCGCAGAGCCACCGCTTCCTCTGTTCCTCCCTGTCGGACGGAGGGAAGGGTTGGGGAAGGGATGAGTAGCCGGAGGGAGGGATAGCTGAATAACGAGGAAAGAAACACCCACTCCGGACTGGCCGACTCGTATCCAGAGAGAAGGAGAGAAAGAAAGAGAGAGGAGGACAGTGAGGAGAAAGAGAAGAGGAGCACTTTGGGAGGCAGCAGGAGAAGCCGTGTTTGGTGTTTGCAGGATTTCCTTTGGGGGTAAAAGCACGCTTGGAACTGATGACTGGAAAGGTATGGCAGGCGATTTCATTCATTAGGTGTCAATCGGTCTCAGGTGTGCGCGTTTGGATTGCTCAAAGCAATTAGTGGAAAACAGATAGTTTACCTTAAATCTTGCGCAAAAATTTGATTCCTATCTGTCATTTGTACTTTGAAGCGACCTTAGGTTAGGTGGTAAAAAAACTAAACAAAACCTTTAACAAAGTTATTTTGATGAATGATTTATACATATGTGAAGGCAGTCATGTACTCATTTACTCAAATGGAGTATGGGTGCAAATGTACTCCCACGTGCAGAAATAAAGTAAGGGAAATACGGCCGATGAACTCTTAAAATCGTTATTTAACGGTTTTTCATTTACTCTTTAATAAATGTCAAAGTTTTACTTTAAATAACACATATAAGTCTTTTTGTTGCAATTTTAGGACAAAAGAAACGTTTGCATCTTGAGTTGTGATTCATAGAGAGGAAACAGGCTGTCCATTCTCAGTTTTATGTGATTTGCTTTCACTTATGTGTGTCTGTGAGAGACTTCCTTTTTAATGCTTTTCAATAATTTCCTCATGTTTTCGGCTGAATCTGCTTTGACCGAAAAAAATCGAAGCTATTTCCTGGAGTAATAAATGCTTGCTAATAGGCGTTTGCCATTTTCCTGATCTTTTGGTACTTTCTGAGTTAAGTCCTTTCCAATCCGTCATTCAAACTGAATACATTTTTTGCCCATGTTTCAGTCACATGACTGTGAGCCAGGTGTGCTTTCCAGAGACACTGGATGAGACTCCTGTAATGTGTCCATCCCTCCTGTAAAAATGAGTGGTAGGCTAGAGAGGAGATATGCATGGAACAAAAAAGTGAGAAACGAGAGCAGGAGATGAGATGGAGATGAGGAGAGGTGCTGAGCGTTTGCTCGTTCTGTCTGACAGGGGCAATGATGTTCTCTCTGGGCTGTCAGTCAAACTGCGCTCTCTCTTTCCATGACTTTATCCTCCATTCCTTTTCTGTCAGGCCTTCTGTTCATTTCTCTTCTCTTCTCGTCTTTATCATCATTCCTCTCAAACAAAGTCCTCCACTGTTTCACCCTCACTTTGCTCTGTGTAGGCGGGAAGCTTGGCCACTGCTCTGTGGTCAGTCCAGACTGTAGGGTGCTGCTCTGTAATTGTCAAGAACTATTTTCGAGACATAACTAACTGATTCCAGATCAGTGAGTAGGAGCTGCGTGGGTAAATGGGTCTTGGTAACCCACAGACTCTCTGTGATGCTGAATAGCATTAATGGTGTTTCTCTCTACTAAGTCCCCAGCGTGTTCCTGCCTTTCATGTTCTGTCTCTTTTCTTAGCTTTTCCCTTCCCTGACTCAACGTGATCTTCATGCTCTCCATGCAGGTCTAGACAGCTGGGTGTGAGAATGATGCCAACTGGACGAATCTGGTGGTGTTTGTGGGCTCCGCTTTTGTTACTGGCCCTCACTGCCTGTATCCCCAGTAAAGCCCAGAGCCAAGGTAAATACCTGTACCTCTTTTAACTGGTTTTCTTTTCTGCCTTTCTTTCACCCCACTGAGCTCCCTGACTCACCCCAAACCTATAACCTCTGCCGCCTTTTCCCACCAGACCACCCCATTCTTTGGTCCTGTCCCCTCTTATGATCATACCAAGTCCTGTTATCTGACCTCTTTCTATGTCCTCCCCCAATATTCCTTGCTCAACCCTCATCTAGTCATCCCCCTGTTTGATGTGCAGGATCAGATCGTATCCCTCATTATGCCATTTTACTCCTGCAGTATGGCAATGACTTCAATCCTGCTGAATCAGAGTGTTTCTGATGAGTGTTAATGAATGGTTTGTAACTTTGGGCAATTAGATTAGCAATTTGATCGTGTCTGATTAAAAAGCATTGTCTCTAGGTAATCTTTTTAGATCATGAAGGTAAATACTTAAGTTTGCGCTCCCTGACACATAATTGACTTTTAAGCTGAGCATCTTTCAGTGATCCCAATGCTTTGTGAAAATGTGTTTTAGATGATCTGGCATCACTGTCCCCCCTTCATATCCAATGACACAGAAACTGTAGAGTCTCAGAAGTCCTTTTTGATCACATGACCACCGCATAGTGTGGTGAACATCCAGGGCTGATATTGCTTCTGTGTTAGAACTGTTGGGTGCTATCGCTGCAAATTTTGTGTTCATTTAAATGAAACCAAGCGCTTTTCACATTACCTTTTATGTATCTACACGTGACACTATGTGAGTGAAGACATATTCTAGAGGACTCCTGACTCTGTATTTCATTTGGCACCTATTGTCAGATGGACCGATTCGATGTGGATGACACTTTATTCAAAGTTACGCTGGGGGACACTTAAAAACTTTTCAGAAACTGGTTTATCTGTCTATGTGTGTGCAGCTCACTTTGCTCCCAGGATGTGGAGGTAGAGGGTCTAGATTGAAGGATTCATTTGTAAAATCTTAAAGGGGATCAAATTACATAGGCCACATGTAACACAGTGCTTTTAATAAGTGACCAGGCAATATTTTCATTCACAAACGTCTCAGAGAGAGTGCAGGATTTTTGTGTCAAAAGTCTTTGTTTCTTTGCTATTCCATCACGATCATGGATCAGTGTGTGAATACACTTACCAGTAAGAGAGTCCTTGATAAACACTAATTACTTTCACTAATTACTTTAAAATGAAAGTGGTTTTCTAATTACTCCGGATCTTAGTCCTAATTCTGTGCTTTGTGCCGTTTCTTTATCTCATACTCTATCTTTGCATTTTTCTTTCTCTATGTAATTCAGTCATTATTATTTTCTATGAACCCCCTAATCTTACCCTGCCCCTATTAGTCTGAATCTTAGCAGCACTTCAGTCTTGTTCTTTATCATAGCCCAAAAGTTATGAAAACTAAGACAGAACTGTGACGGTAGAAATTGGGATGGGATCCAGTCCAGCAGAATAGGATCATTCTTTGAGAACATGGACAACCTCCCAGCCATTATGGGAGTGTACCCCTTGTTCAATCCCTTCATTAGGGAGCATGTGATAACCATTCATTTTAGCCCTGTCTGTCCCCATAAGCTGCAACATCTGGTTGCAAGGGATTAGAGCTTGAGGATTAGTGTGTTCAACCCATGCAGGATGTTTTGTGTATACAACTGAAATGTCTGGATATCATCAGGAGCACTCAACGAAAAAGTGGGCCAGTCCGGGAACATTTTTTTTGTCAGGAAGAATTTTCCCAAATCATTTGCTATTCAGAGCTGATGAGCAATTTTCAAATAAATATCTTCACTGATATAGGAGGTGTTGCCATCCAAAGCAGAGCCCGTCATTAAGACTATGTTTATACAATATATATACTTTTCTAAAGATGTTTGGAATAATGTTTTTTACCACCTTACTATAAGAGGTTGGTTTCCTTCTCCTGCCTCTAATCAACGTTTGCTGTTTCAGTACTCACAACAGTGTTTTTATGACCAAGCACTTTTGGTCTCCTCAGACATAAATGTTTATCTAAGGTTTTGCAGATGCTTTCATTTTATTGTTTGTAGATACTGTTAACACGAGTATGCAAGTTACTCTTTGAGACCCGTTTCATGCAGCAGATGCACTTGTGACAGGGGTCTGCTCGGTATGTGCTTGACCTGTATCCAGCAGCCTGTCACAGGCGTCTGCAGTGCTATTATGTCGACTACACCTAAGTGCGTCCAGTAATGACCCAATATAAATTTCTAGTTTACTGTCTCTATCTCTCTTTCAATATATATGTATATTCATTCAGTTCAGCCTGAGGCTGTGCTTACAAACACTAGTGCTTTTAGCTAAATGGAAACATCGGCACACCATCGTTCTCTCAATTGCAGCGCTGACAGGTTGATTTCATTCTGCATTTAGTTTTTAGCCGTTGAAGCTTCCAGTACTTTTCTGTTAAGTTGCCTTTGATGGTGCGACAAAGCAGCAAGGTGTATTTAATAAATCAATCAAAATATATCCTGAGGAGGGTGGCTGTGGCTGAGGGGTGGCAGCAGTTGCCTGCCAATGGGCGGGCAGGCTGCACCAGCCAAAAACTTCCCATGTGAGTCAAGGCTGGTGTGCTACCTGGGAACTACCTGGTAATCACCCTAACCTTGCCTTCAACACATCCTCACAGGGACAGCTAGTGAAGCTAATTAGGGCAGAAGGTCGAGTAATAACACACAATTATTCTTGCAATACAACTGCAAGTTGAGATGCACAGGGGCATAAGACAACAGATTATCAAGAATAGAAATGTTTATCCTCTGTGGTTTAACATTAAGATGAATACTACAATAATGAACTTAAGTGGGATTGCTTTGTGGGGAAGCAAAATGTTCATGGCTACACAGAACAGTTCAGTCTTTACAAGGTACTCCTTAGGAATCTTTTTCTTTCAGGAGACGTGACTTAGACACAAGAAATAGCCTTTATATGCTGATTCATTGCTCCACGTTCCGACCTGTGGGAACAACTCAGACTTTGTTCAACAAAGTGAACTGTTTCTTTTCCTTTTTTCCTCTCTAGTGATTTCTTTGGCTTTAAAAGCATTGAAAAGGGAAATGTTCAGTTTTTTTCTCCACTCGTGAGACTCAGTGGGTGCAATAAGTGACCCAACACTCTTGGTTACGGTTTCCCTTTCAGCAGTAAAAACAGCAGGATAGACGGCAGAATATCTTGGGTCTGACTTCATTTTTGGGAAGAATTTAAATGAGTTATTGCTCATCGAGCATTTCTTTTTTATGTTCAGTCCTTGATGAGCAAGTCATTAGAAAGATGTTAAATGTGAGTCATGGTTAATGTGTTTATGTTAACTCTCATACTTTATTATAGTGATTGATTTTGTTGATTGGCTGACAACCTGGATCAATACTGTGCTCCACACGACATCTCAAAGTTTCACATTTGCAACAATATAGCACTTTTTGTTTTAGTCTGTGTGAGTGGTTAAAAGACAGTTTGGTGATTTGATATTAATGAGACTGTTGGCCGGTAATTTCCTTTATAACGACTGAGAGAAAGCATTGATGAGATTCACGTACAAAACAGAGATGGCATGACCTGTTTGGAATTTAAAAACTGCTAAATGATCTAAACCGGGACTCCTGTTACCCTTCTCCTGCCGTCAGCTCCTGCTGATGTGAATCCAGTTAGTCCAGATCGGCCACTTCAGACTGGCTTGAGCAGTAACTTTAAATGCTCAAGCAGTTTTAATGATTTCCTTCTATTATCATCAGAGTGAAAAAATTATATTTTGTGATTGCAAGTTAAACAAAATTTTCAGACAACACAAAAATACAAAGGATAAGAACCATAAAAAATAAAACCAAAATATTCTAGGACAGCTGTGTGTGGAAAAATTATTAACAATCAACCTTTTTAACGTAATTCCATGTATATTTTTACATGTTAATTCTGCATCCTCATCATCGAAAGAAGATCTCATATTTCACTCTTAGATTTATTCATGTAATATTTTTATCAAGATCAGTTCAAAGATTGAGTCAAAAAAACATGTTGTGAACATGCGCTTTAGAGATGTGTAAAATTGAGTTTGAGTGTGTCTGTGGTGAGTTTCGATATCACACTATGACAATTAACATAATTATAAATCAGAGAGATTTTATTATGACATGACCAAATTAAAATTGAGCTTTGAACAGATATGGACAGGTTCCTCCTTCCAATGCTATAGTAACATTAATTTATAAAGCTATTTCTTTAATAGTTTTTATATACACACAGGAGTGAGCATGACCATTCATGGTTATTTGCCTCATTTGTCTCGATTTAACCCAACGATTAACTGGTGAAATGTTCAGGGTGTGGACTACATTCCACCCAATGACTGCTGGAATAGACTTCAGCGGGTATAAAAAATGGATCTCACTTAGGTCAGTCCTGTTTAATACAGAAATTATTTGAATGAATTGTCAGATTAAATCAAGAAAGCCTATCAATTACAGTTCATTAAGAAAGAGATTATTTTAAGAGCTTAATTTACTTTTAACCAAAAATGAATCACGGAACAAAACTAAACTCTCTCATCATTTTGTATTTCGTCACTTCAAATGTTTAGCTTAATTTCTCTTTTCCACTTTCCCCCAGTACATTTTGAATGCAGTTTATTATGTCCTGCAGATGATGAAATATCAAAGTCTGTGAAATTCATCATTGAAGAACTTCATTCTGAAAATCATCTGCAATTTTGTAGATCCGATTTTCTTTTTTTTGGGGAGATTGTTGACCCCCTGCCCATAGGAGTCTTTTTTTTCTAGGGCTTTCTGATGTGCTTCAACAATTATATGGTTTCTTAACTATGCTACTACACAGAAAGAAAGACCCTTTTTATTCACATCTAGACACATGTATTCACATTATGCATTTGATGGACGAATGTTGAAGGGAAAAAAGGCATCGTTTACACTGGTGTCCCAAGAATTGGTTCAAAAAGGCATTAAGTGACTAAAGCTCAGAAGTGGATAGCGCGGAAGGAGAAGATAAGATGATAAAAGAGCAGATGGGAGGGAAGATGAGAGTTAGAGTAGAGTTTAAATCCAAAGCTGAGAAGATGTGATAAAAGTAGTATTCCATGAGAGCAGTGGAGCTGATTGAGCTGAGAGATGGTGGATTAGCATTAAAATCTGTCTTGGTTTACAGTAATTTACAAACAAGAGGCCGCCAACGTGAATGTGCAAAGTGCACAGAGACACTCAGACACTCCGTTTCCCTTGTTTACTGTATAGCTACTGTATGTTGTGATTGTTGTGAGTCAACAGTTATTGAGCATAAATCTAGTGTATTAATAAAACCTCTGTAGCCTGTATATTTAAAAGTTGAGACTATGACAGCTTTCTTTCACCAGAAGAAAGAAGAACCAAAACGATGGAAGAAAAAATATAGTCAAAGAGGGAACTTTTGTTTTATGTCTGACATGAATAGAGCAGGAAAAGAAAAAAGCTAAGAGTTGGGAAAAGGGATAAAAGAAAATAAAGACAGTGGATATGGATGGGAAGAAAAACAAGCTTATGAAAGGCAAGGAGGGTATTAGATAGGAACGATTCAGTGAAACAAGAGATTAAGGAGAAAGAGTCAGAAAAGACAAGGATGACAGGAAAAAAGGATGAATGGGATTTGAGAAGATGAATTACACTGAGGAAGAATGAGGAAAGCAAGTGAAAAAGAAGAAAGCTAGATGACAAGAAGCCAACACTAATCAGATCAGCTGACGAATCAGAAAATAAGGAGAGAAAGATATTGCACGATGTTAAAACAGACATGGATAACAGAGAGAGAGACAGAGCTTGGACCACCAGCATTTATTTATTTACGAGGGGTTCCTATTTGCTTTAACTAAACCTAATCCAGTGTGTCACATGTATTTCCCAAAACAGCTTGACACTTGGGTTGAACGAGAGGTAGTGTGAGATGTGGATCTCTTGGGGAATGTTTATGGCCGTACGGTGGTAAACAACGGCGGATTGTGATGGCTAATTTATGTCAGAGAGCCTCATGATCTGACAGCAACAACAGCTTTATGCCGTCATCATCAATCATAGATGCCGTCTGTGGAATTGCCTTCAAGTTGTACCATAGAACTTGACATGCATTGTTGGAATTGGTTTATTCTGTTTTCTTATCGTTTTGTTTTAGCTATAATTTAGTAGGTGTATGTGTGTTGATTTATATGTAAAGCAAAGGTATATATACTCAGGGCGTTTTCACGCAGTTTTTAATACCATGTCAAGTGACATATTCTCATAGACACACTAAATGATACCAAAGTAGTAATCTACTAAACTCCATCATGCACTTAAATTATTCATAGATTCTTATTGTGCAAGATAATTATACCTTTTCATCCTATACATTCTGAATATTGGATTGGTAGCCTGATGTGACAACTTCAGAGAAAGGGCAAGAAAATAGCAAAGTGCTTCACCGTCTCCACAAATCATACAGCATGAAACATTTATGAAATGTTGAAAACGTAGTTTATGTGGGATTGGCATTTCTAAGATTAAGAATTGCTTGGTTGTGATACTTTTTAATATTAAAAGAAATCTTTGCAGCGATACCATCTGGGCTCTTTGAATCGGCTTCACTGGACTTAAACCAAATTTTCTTTAAAAACTAATTATATTAACAATATTAATTCCACAAATGAAATTACACCTTCGATGATACTTTTGCATTTTCTCTTGCTTTTAATGGGATTTATGACTTAGAGTTCCAGGTTGTTATACAGGTGACAGTCATGAAATATACACTTTAGTTTCAATACTGCCTTACATTCTACTGCTCTTGGTTTGTATCCCTCTTGGGTCTAATGCATAGCCTTAATGTATACATTCCGAGTGATGGACCATACCTCTTAGATTGGCATCAGTGTCTATAAACTGAAAGATGAATTAGCTCTTGAGCTGAAAGTGGTGAATATTGTAAATTGTCATTGTCACCCATTGACATCCTATACTGATACAGTGTAAGCCATTAAAAGCATAAGTAGAAAAAAAGCAATCTAACAAAATTGTCTGTTGAATTCTTATTGCAACCAACTTATGATACATTTCAAATTCTTGAGCATGTGATATTTCCTGCGCTACTTTGCCTTCCCTGGGTGGGGTGACCTCTTTACTATGTTTTAGACATCTGTTTGGAATGGTTCGGGGTAGTAAATTCATTTCTGAGAATTCTAAATTCCCAATGATATATGTTTTCAAAAGCTTTACTGGAGTCCCAAAGAAAGAGGTTATAATCATTTAATATTTTGGGGTATATTCACTCTTTCATCTTTTCTTTTGTACCATTGTTATCCAAAATCAGGTTACTGGTTATCCACTGTACATTTTAGCATTTTTTCGCACTTTGAAAGAGGTGAGGCGTGTAAAATAGCTCTGCATTAGGTACCTTGTCAGGTCTTAACATAAACTAACAATATGACCAAGGGCCGAAATGTGTTGCAGATGTTTTCTGTCTGGTTTGTTGCTTGGACTGCATTAAAGATACTGCGGGAAGGACATAGTACTGGATGTGTCAACTGACTCAGAGAGGTGTAATCAATAAAGTTTGTCAATGTGCGAAACAGCAAATGGCCACTATGTGCTAGCTCCAATAGACTCGCACTGGGGAGAAAAAAAAATCAATGGCTTCTCTTCTCTTAAAATAATTTGGTGGTAGTTCAGAGACCATGCTCTTAACTAATTTGCCAGTGTTGGCATCTATAGCTGCCTCAGGGAATTCATAAAGTGTGCTGTTGATGCTTTCTACAACATGGACAGCCACATGGTTTCCTCTCAGCTCTTTACTACAGAGAATACAAATATTGAAATGCAGTGAGATGGAAATTTCTCATAAGCATGTGCAGCACAACATCCATCCATGTTTGGGTACAAATCTTATTCACAGGTGTTTTGATGTTTCCCCACATGGCTTGGGTTGGCAGCTGTACTGTGATGAAACTGTAGTAATACCTTTGGAAACAAGTCTCCGCTTCCACCACGACTACCTGAAACAGCTGAGCTGCATACTGTTGTCTATATAAATCTTGGCCTGTTTTTTGGGATTGCATTTCTGCAAACCTCCAGCAAGACAGCCAGTGGAAGTGATACTGTCAAAGAAGAGGAGGTTAAATAATGCTAAACACCACCAACAATGAAATGTGTCCTGCCTCACTTAAGAGGAAAGCTTGCAGATGAGTCTGCAGTTTTGTCATTATGTAAGAGAGCAGCTTGACCAAAGGGTTTGTCTCTAATTGTGAATGCAAGGTTTATGGTGAAAAATCTAAAATTTAACGAAACGCTTTCTCTTTGATTATTTGAAGTTACGTTTGTCCTTTTGACAAATTTTCCTTAATATATACTGAAAGACCATGCAGAAGTGTAGAACTGTAATAATTCTTAATCCAGCTTGCCCTTTTAATACATTTATCAATTGTAGCTCTAATATTCCTGTTTTCTTCACTTTTGGTCTTTAAAATCCATATGGTGACTGCAACAAGGCTTAAAAATGTCCACTTTTCACATGGTGCCTTATTAAAAACAAAATTCTCATAGATCTGCTCGCTATAAAGCGAATATGACTGGAAACATAACTAAATCTTTGTTTTTCAGAACTTTGCTTCATGCCCTTTTAAAGTGTACCAACCTAAAGTCTTCACCATACTGAACATTTCATATGTTACACTCCTGTCGGATAGAACTTAAGGCTTAAATTCCCTTTTATCTCTTCTGTCCAACAAAACATTAATTTAATCTTGGTATTTTTGGAGTGTTCATATCACTGCACACCATCTCCTATTTACATTAATTACAATAGGTTCCTTAAATCACACATTTTAATTGCCTGTCTTTTCTTTACTTTAATTATATAACTGTAACATTGTTGTTCAGTTCCAGCTCCAAGGAGGCTGCGCTTCAAGGTGCTGAGTTCAAGCACACTCCTCATTTCCTGGAGGGAGCCCAAAGGAGAGGTTGACAGATACCTGCTTCTCTACAACAGCATACCAGGTAGGATGTCTGGACACATGCACATAGCACAGAGAAAGCACCATGCCAAGGAGGAAATTAACCCAAATTAGAATTTTTACAAAAAATGTCCCATTATGACCTGTATTTCCTTTTTGCCTGGGGATTATGGAATTGGTTTCTTATCGATCCCTCAGAGGATTACATTTCTAAGAGATGTGAAGGCTTTATATATTTTTTCCTTACTTTTGCCAAGTTTGAGACGAGAGAGTGCTCCTGCTTGTGTGGAGCCTATCAGCAGATGCAAAAGTGGGACTAGTACAGGACAGTAGAAGAACCTTTTACTAATTCATGATGGAGTTCAGTCTTGGACACCTGAATAACAAAGACAGCCACTGTAGTGATTAATCTGTATAATCACAACATGCAGATTTCATGATGGATGTAAGATTCCATTCCTCTATTCAGAATCTCTGCAGAACCGATCAGTTCTTACACAAAGTGCATTCATAGAGTCGTAGCGATCGCTATGATCACAACTGACATCTACTTCATCGTGTAATCATAGTGCACCTGCGTTCTCAGCCCAGAACAGGTATTTCCCCGGCACTGCACTGCTGTCTGCATTGGTTATCAGCACCAACTTGAATGCCACAGACAATTCTTTGACAGCTAGAAAAAAATGAATATACAATACTAAATAAATAAGACTTGTCTACAAGATTTGGCTCTTGCAAAAACCAAAGGATAGCATTATAATGCGTATACATGTATGTAACCACTTTAAAACTGGACTTTAAGCAGCTGTAGTCATATTTTATATTCTATATGATTTATTTATGTCTATAAAGACATAAGAACCCTTGCTTAGTCTCTTTTGTCCCAGTATGTGTTAGTAGACAGTATATGTATGTCAAATGAAGTGAATCACTTGTGGAGCTTGTTACAAATTGTATGAAATTATCTTAGTCAAAATTAAATTAAATGTCATTAGTTTGTTTTTTAATTTGTTTTTGGTTGGTTTCTTGTTTGATTTTTCCATATGGTTTTGTTTATTTATTCATCTGAGTTTGTCTGGCCTCCAGTCTGAGTTTCTCAGTTTTTGTCTTTTGTCTTTGTTTCCTGTGTTTCAGCTCTAGTTTAAATGTCCTGTTTTATTGTGGTTATTTTCTCCACTTCCATATAATTCTGCCACCTTCATTTTCGTTGGATACCTGGTCAACACTCCTCACCTGTGTTCTCTGTCCTTAGCTGCCTTCGTTCAATGTAAATCTCCTCTGCATAAAGGCTGTCATAGTTCAGTCCTCTTTGTCAGTTCCTTGCCGTCTTCATGCTTGTTTCCTTACCATTTGTTGTTTTATGGATCTTCCTTCTGGAGTCTCCTCATCCCTTTACAGCTTGTTGTTCTTGGTCTTTGTAGTCCTTGTAGATTTTATTTTGTGGTTATTTTGGATGAGTTTTTTTTTAATCTGGCATGATTGTTCTTTCTGTTCTGGTTTTACAATAAGTTACTCCTTTTTGAGCACCTTGTTTTTCCATTAAGCTTCTTGGCCTGTGCCTAGATCCTATCATCCCTTAAGCATACCATGTCAGTCAATGCTTCAACTGTACTTGCATTATAGCTGATGATTTACTTTTTTCCCTAAACACAAATTACAGCCTCGTATTTCTATAATCTCAAACAATATTTATTGCTCCCTGTACATAGTTTTAGTCATTAGTTGTCTCTCTCTTTCTCACACCATCCAAGAAAATGCCTGCTAAGTTAATTGCAGACTCTGAAACTGGCCTAAGAAAAGTCATGCAATTAACTGATATTGTACTAAATGGCCAATATGTTTCACCCCATTTACTGTACAGATACATTTGCAACAATGAGAACCATGTATGTCCCAGCCCATTTTAATGGAACAAAGATCAAATAAAAAATGATGCAGCTTTTTTTAGATGCAGTTAGTTTCTTACTTTTGGAGAAAGTCCATTGTTAAAGAGTACATGATTGCCAAAGCCTGCAAACCAGGTAGATGATTAATTTGCTCTGTATAACAAGTGAGTATTCAGCCTTCAACTCAAGTTCTGATATTTTTGTTGATAATGTGGTTCATCTGCGCGTGGTGAGCGTGAAGTTTGGTACTTATGAGTGCAGTATTAGCCGACCTGCTGTTCTCTTTGAAAGGATCTATTTTCCTCTACAGGTGTCACCGGTTGTTGGTCTGCAGGGGACAGAGCTGAAGCAGTGGGCACATTCTCATACAAACAATGATCTCATGATCAAAGTTAAATGGCTGATGATATGGCGTGATGTGTATTAAGTGGGAATGTAGAAACAAAGTAATTATTTGAACAAAAGTTCAAAATTTTATCAGAGGGCAGGGGCATTTGTTTTTGCAGCTTGTATGATAAGTCTTCAGTGCCCATATTAGGATGTAACAATAAATCTATTATGGAGGTGAATTGTACTTTGACACTAATGTTCTCCTGCTTCTACACAGAAGAATATTTAAGAGCCTTTTAGGCTAATTAACTTCATTTTGGCTTTCCCAAGTGAATGCAAATCATTGCTTCCAAGCAGCAACTTAAATAAATTAATGTGCTTTCTCTTTATTTCAGGTGGTCAGCAGAAGGAAATCATTGTGTCCAAATCTCACACTAAGGTGTTGATAACAGACTACGATCCTTCTAAAGGCTACACCTTCAGTATTATCGCGGTCAGAGGCAGCGAGCAGAGCAGACCACTTCAGGGCAGATTTAAAGGTTTGTTTCTCTCATTTTGCCAATGTTCTGCAGGCATTCTTTGTCTTTTGCTTTCAGCTCATCTTTTCTTTTTTGTGCAGAAGACTCATGTTTTGTGGTAATGTTCTTTTGAAATCTTCCTTGTCTGTTTTGCACTTCATTTACAGAAACCTGATTTGATTTCTTGATAGAACCTCTCTCTTTTTAAAGAATATAATCTCACTTTTTATTTTGTCTTCCCCTTAACCTAATTTCAACTCTCTTCCTCCCCTCTTTTTTATTTGTTTTTGTCTACTTTAACCTTGTCCATTCTATTTCTGTTAACCTGTGATTACCCTATTCTAGCTCATGTTGGGGACAGAGGTGAGAATGATGGAGGAGACAACTCAGAGCCCCAGAAGCTGACTGAATTAGTCTTACCCCCTCAGGATGCCAATGAGATTTCTGGAGGTATGGCAAACACATTTAAAAAAAAAATGGGTTCCAGGAGATGAGACCTCATGCAAAAGTTACACTTGAACTTGAACATGTGAATTTCCCCAGTGAGATACTGCACCAAAAATCCTTTATTCAGTTGCTGTAGTGATGTTTGGTGGTAGAAAAACAGATGTTGGTGCTGTCTTCAGTACCGGTTTCACAGATTAAGAAAACAATTATTTGTGGAGTCTGTCACTTTAAATCGATCAAACAGCATGCACACTGGCACACTGAAAAGCAAACACTATACATCCTGTGTTAGCAAATTACTACAGGTGCAACTAGAACTCCTAATATTGGATGAATGACCCATACCGTTCACATGTGTCGGTGCAGTTTAATTATTCATTTTAGCCACAGGATGTCTGACTTTGTTTACTTTTCAAGCCTAAATCTTCTTGCTGTTTAAAGCATGCATGGACATTCATTAAAATGGCTGTTATCTACAGAAAAAATGTTTTTGCCATTGTCTGCTATGAAGTAGTGATTAATATGCAATAATGTGGTTTGCAGTTTGTGTTATGTAAGAGACAGGTTGAAGTAGGTAAGATGGTGTTGCATATGGGGCTTGTAGTCATATATGATGTGTGAATGTGTTCATTTTAACAAAACTGAAACTTTTCTCTTTTTTTTAAAATAAACCCCTGACCTTAAGCAAGTGCTCTTAAAGAATTTCATCACGGGGTGAAGGGTGTTTTTATTTGAGCACACAGGGTTTTGTATTTCTTTTTTTTTTTTACATTGAAACAGCTGTCAAGAGGACAAAAGATAAAGTTGTTCAGAAATATTCATGACTTTTTAATGTATTAATACATTCTCAAGGTGTATCCTGAGCTACTTACTATCTTGTTTGTCCTCATTCTAAGCATTGATATACTTATAGATAATTTAGAGAGTATGATTTTGCTACTTGTAGTGCTATATAAACACTTAAGAGTAATTGATGGAGCAGACGAGGGGCATACATATAGAACAATAAAATCATAAACATTTTCTATTTATCCTTGAATTCAAATTAAATCAGGTCTTGGATGGCAATACATTAACAATTCACATCACAATTTCTTGTTTACATCTGTTTTTCAAAATACTTTATCTTTCTTATAATGACCATAAATGAACTTTGATTGCCTATTATATGTTGTGTTTTTATACAAAAAAGGCTGTTTATCATTTTAATTCAACAATGTTTTTTCTGTGAACACACACTTGGGAAGCCATTGAATTTTCTTCCCTCCCGTTTTGTGGATATTATGGAGGTCATATGATATTCATTTATGATAATTTATGATCTTCTGATAACTTTGGGACATTACATAATTTACCTTTTGATTTGAGTTAAACTGGTAAAGGATAGCCCAAGGATAACACGGTGAAAATAGATTTAGTTTCATGTATGAGCTGCGAGATATCTCCAGATAATATGGAGGGACTTTTCTTTTGAGTTCCTCTACTGCTGTTACTATTTAACCTTTACGTCACAATAGGAAGCTCTTACAGATGGAAACATTAGAGGATTTGCATTAACCAAACAATAGTTTACGCTACCATTGAATTTAAATAAGTTTATAGAATAAAAAACAAGTGATTATTCAGGGAACAACATCTCTGTCCCTCCGAGATGCACACAAATGAGTTTGGTTCAGAGATGTTCCATTCTTCTTCCTTCTTCCTGTCAGTAGGCAGATCATAAGGCTGGATATCCTTTACTCTATAATCAGGCCCACTCATCATTCACTGCAGCACAGTGACCTTGATTAGGGTTCTACTTCCAACCTGAAGGGGATTATAGTCATATCCTGCCGGGGCTATGTACATTTTGTGACTGCACTGTCTGTCTATGCTTTGGGCCGTTGTGAAGATGATCAGATTGGCTGTGGATCAGCAACACACACGCTTATCTGTTGTGCTGTAACATATTACTATTTATTTTTCTCCTTCTTTTTGGGGCTGTGTTTATTTGTACAACTTGATGATAATACCAGAGCCCAAGAGAAATGGTGTTGTGGAGTGCTCGCGTGTGTGTATCGATGTGTTTGCATGTTTATTGCCACTTCTAGCCCAGTCCATCAGCACTTTGTTCCAGGGTAGTAATCGGCTTGCTTTCATGTTTGGGTGGGTTGTTTATAAAGCCTTTTATTAACAGCCGGCTTATACTTCCATCTCTCTGATGTTTGTGTGTGTGTGTGTGATTGGGTGTATGCATGTTTGCATGTTTTTTTATTGCAGACATTAAACATGCCTTCTTTAGACTTCTGTTTTTATGAATATAGAATTTTTTTTTAAAACTGTGTAAGATGTCAAGATTGGTTAAAATGGACGTTAATGCTTTGTAGGTACATGAGTTTGATGGGATGTGTGTTGATGTGGGGATGAGGACCGTTTGACAGAGATGAGCTTCGAAAGCTAAATAACTGCCTTGGCCACCCACTTTTTGCTCTGAAGATGCACGACAAATTATTTAACCATATCTTGCAGAGCTAAAGTACAGGGTGTTGTGGGTTAAATACAGACTGTCCAGCACATTCCTGTCTGCTCTTAGAGTGGCATTGATTGAAACGGCCACTCCAAAATACATAAAATACTCCAAAATACTAGTTTGGAAATCTGTAAAAATCCATATTATTGATGTCCAGCAGTTAACTGCTTCAGCGGCTGCTCAGTCATTTAATTATTTTACCATTTAAATGAATTCCCTGCAGTTATTATGGACTTACCCATCCATAAATATATATTATATTTTCCTTTTTGTTTCAGGGAGCAGGTCACATTTGGAGTAGGACAAGAGAGAGTTGTTCGGCATTCTCCTTCTCATTTGATTTTTCTCATTGCATTATTCGAATACCTTTGGATATTACAAATAAAGAATTTGACCGATATGCAGAGGAACAGACTTTTACTGGTCCTCTTTCTCATTAGATATTTTCTTTCTGACTGCATTCATGGCTAAAAAATCAAAGCACTGGGCAAGAACGTTAGAGCCTTCATCTCACCTCAAAGTATCTTTGTCTTCCAAGCACTTGAGAAGAGTTTTTGTCCTACAACATGGCCCCCACCTCCTCTGTTCTCAGCTAGTCACAGGCTAAGCTGACTCCACTTACATTCATGGAAAATACAAAACGCATTCATTCAGGCGGAAGACATGAGATGGTTATGTTTTAAACTGTAGAATAAAAAAGCAATTTTGAAAACTGAAGAGATATGTTGTGCACTTTGCTGTGTAAAAAATTATCCTCCTCTTCCATCCTACTAATTTTACAAAGGATATTTTTGCCGATCGATACTGTCCTGAAATAATCTAAATAGTGTTATTCTAACACATCCATCCACTTACTCCAGCTGGTTGGTGCTGGTTTTCCAGGATAAAGAACTTGTAAAAAAAAGTTATAAGTAAAGTTTTTAGGTTTCTCCAACTAATTTAAAAAAAGAAGAAAAACAGAGAAACACATTTTGTAAACCGTTTATTTTACATTTCAGGGTGTAATCTCCAAAGCTACATGGCACTTCAACTTTAAGGGACTTATCTGTTTTTTTAATGATCTGTCACCTCTGTTGAATTAAAAATCATTTAAGTTGACAATATTATTTTCTCAATGTTTTGGAGTTTTCATTGTCCTTGTGATAAAGTTCTAAACTTGTTGGCAGGTAAAACAAAAACAGCACGTAATTGTCACTCAATTGAGGAAAGATAATGCTAATGTAAGAACTAAAAAAAGTTTTTCTATTTGCTTCTGACAGCTTTACGTTTGGCAGTAAAAGACTCCGTCTGTGCGCCATTAATCATCTGGCAGTTAATAAAATGTCTCTGAGCACTCCAAAGTGTCAAAGCATGATCATCTGCTCTTTTGAGACAGAGTAAATGCAATTCTTTACTGCTCTGGGACCAGCCAGTGCAGATCAAGAATCGGCCATTGTTGTTCACTTCAACCATAGACTGTTTTTATTTTCCATTTCAGTCTCTTTCTTTTCTCCATTGCTGTGTTCAAAGTGTGTCTATTCTCATATTTAAAAAGTTCATAGGATTTGCATACGCTCTCTGAAGCACAATTAGATTCTCCTGAGAGTTCAAATCCTCATTCATCCAAATACTCTGCAAGGAGTTCTGCAACCAATGGCAACAAATGTCTGTTTTGCTTGTCAAAGCCAGAGCAAAGCCGGTAATGGTCCCTTGTGTAGCACAGTAAAATATTTTCTTTGGAAATGGTCTCTAAACATTTTATAATGGCCATTATTTGGACAACTGTGAGTATAAGCTCACATGGTGGGTGCACACAATTTCAGACTGTTCATGGCTGTATTTAGTAAAATGTGCTCTGTAATAGAAAGTCCTGATGGCTGTCAAGCTCAAAACCTAACTGATGCTAAAACACAGACCTTTTTAATTTTGTAATCACAATTCTACATTGTTTGCAAGTTGTGGTAAACTGATATCTGTTAGCCTCTGGCATACAGATCATACATTAACCAAAAAAATAAAAAATCTTGTGCAGTGCTGAAATTGCACATGCTTGGAATGAGAGAAGCTTCTCCACCTACTGTGACTATATCTTTGAGCTCTGACTTTCTCTGATGCTACAGCAGCTTTTAAAACCCTGTTCTCTCTCAGCATGGGAAGCACAGAGCAGCACATGCACAGCAGTTTGGGTAAATGAGTATATTGATTAATTATCTGGCTGATTCACAAGATCAATTTGAAATGAGCAAACTGAATTTGGACATGCTGTTTTAACAAATACACTCCATGTATCATCACCCCACATGCACTTGCGCATAGCTTTGGACATCGGTAACTAAGGCAGTGATGCAGATCAGATCTCTTCAGCTTCTTATATGGGTAGACCTTTATGGCAATTGCAGTGCAACCATTAAATGCTTGACTTAACTTTTGTATGGAAGCATTCAGAGTCAATTTAACAGCAGACCTAAAAATCATAGCGCAGCAATGGGCAGCTCTCCATGCTGTGGTGCAATACGTGGTGTTACCGCCTGACAGGGTTGACTAAATCTGTAAAGCAGCGCTCACACCTGGCTTATATGTGCAGATGCATACATTGAACCCAAGGAAAACACATTGTTCAAATCTAACCGGGGGCCAATAAGAGGGTTTATATTCACCATGTCGGTCGTGCTGGAGACGAAGTTGCAAATCTTGAATTCCAACTGAATCTGCTTATTTGTGTTAATCTCCATACATTTATTTCACTGTTAACATTCATACAGTGTGAGTCCTTTGGCGCTGTGAGTTATGCTTCGATATTTGTGTTGTGTTGTTACCAGAAAGAGCAGTTACACACTTTGCAAACATTTTTCTCTGTTTAATTTTGATTCCCAGTGTTTGCCAGTCAGTGTTATGTTCAGTGAACACAGAAGATGTCAGCGGCTTTGTAGTTGAAGAGGTTCGCTGCTAGCTGGTGACTGGAGGAAAATGCAGAGATGAGGAGGAGAGAAAATGTAATTTGAATGCTTGTGCATTCACATTTAATAGTTTAAACTGTTCCAGAATTTTCCTGGTCCAAAGCACCTCTCTGTATGGGTTTCGCATGCCCCCCCCCACACCCTCAGTGCAGAAGGTTCACCATTTGAACAAATCAACATGACATTTGAGAGGTAATGCTATGAAAATACGTGCATTTATAATTAAGCTCAAAAGCCATGTACTTCATCTTCCATGGAGTACAGTCATTGCTCTGTTTTCATATATTTGTCATTTTTACTCATGTATTGGCAAATTAGTAATTCCAAAAATAAAAAATAGAGGGGAAGTGACTTTATAGATAGCTTTTTCTCTTTCAGTATTCCCATGGCATCTAATCCGTCCACGTGTTAAATTGGATGGAACAAAATGAGATGGAGGTTTAAAGATGAGGATGCCAAACAGGGAAAGGTCTCTCTCTGCATGACACAAACCCTCTGAAAACAGCTGTCGGATTACACCTTAAACCCAGTGGATCACACAGCTTGGATTCTCCTACACACACAAGTGCAAACCTGGTTTCACAGATGAATATGAATGTTTGTGCCTATCTGAGCTTGTCTGAGTAATATTGATGGCTACTGAGCAAATGACACTCAATCTGCAGCCCGTTTTGGACTTAATAAACTAACTCTTTTTTTCTCCTCTTGAAACCACTAGTATATGATATAAAGTTTTGTCTTTGAGACAACTATTTTTTTTTATCCAGTATATTTTTAGATAAGATATAACCTTTCACTCATTTTCAAACTAAGCAGCGTTGTATATGCAGTCTAGTGCAATAAAAAAAAGAGTGTGAGAAACCTCTTTATAGGAGAGACCCGACAACAGCTCCAAAAGAACAAGATATCACATTCCCAGCATTTACAATGCAGCATTGTCCCTCTTCCCCAGCCTGTTTCATAGCCATTCACACCAGACCTTTTACAAGTGTGGTGGAATCATTACTATTACAATTTTTTTTAGATACAAAACAAAAGTCTGTTCCTGACAGGGAAAGAGGTAACTTTTTTATCATGATGTTTGTGATTTTCATGTGCAGGATTTTGAGGGTTTGTGAAAGAAAGGAGAATGTCTGGTTTGGGCACACAAGGGTCACGTCTCTGCTTTTGGCAGATGTGTGGGTCTGAGGAGTGCTTTGTAGTAGAGTGTTTAGCAGCTTGTAGCAGGAAATACGTTAGAACATAGCTGCAAAATACAGGAAAAGGCTGATACGTCGTGAAAACATGTTCATTAATTCATTAAGTCCTTCAGATTGATACTATGTTGAGGTATGTTAAATACTGTGTATATCTACTTGTTCAACAATTTTGGTGATGCGTGTTCAATTGTTTTTGCAATAAATTAGGCTCATGTTTGAGGTGAAGTGCCCTTCTTAAAGCAGGTTGATCCTGGAATCAGTTATTTTGGAAAGAAGGCAAGACTTTGTCTATAGGGATTGTTACCACTTCTCCCCATCCATTTGTATGCCTGTCACTGCCCTCAATGTTAATTCCAGACACTGAAGCACAATCGCAGAGTGAAATTACGCTTCAATCTAATCCCTTGTTGAATAGAGGTCAGATATAAATCAAGAAAAACTGGGAAAAAGGCAGAGATAAAGAAGGAGAAAGAGGGTAGAAAAGTTTTCTGAAAAAGATATGTGTTAAGAACTTTGAAAAAAAAACTATATTATTTTCTTTGTGCATTTACAACTCTAACAATGTTATGTTTGAGTGTGTCTAAGTTCCTAAAAGGTAATCAGCTGTTTTCATCAGACAATATGCAGTCTTACAACGTCTGTGGGTCTTCACAACGCCATGTGCTTTACTAATGCGTTGATAGATGGTCACATTTCTTACGGATTTGTACAATTTCCGGATTTTGTTCTTTTTCAAACCTATTCTCAGAACTGTTCAGTCTGATTCAGTTTTGTGAGATGTTGCAGTTAACTGTGGCTTCCACTATGGCAGGGACATTTTTTGCACTCAAGACTGCACTCCCACACAGTTAATTCAATTGTCTTGGAGCCACACATTCTTTCCCACAGCACAACAGACTACTCTTTGGGCTGTGAGTTGTAAAATGTGGGCAGTCACTCTTTCATGGACACCAGGTGGACTGTTGGAAAGGTCACTTGTTTGCATGTCCGCTTTTCTTAGTGTATGTGCAAGTTTGTACTGTAGTTCGGTTTGCACATTTTCTACTCATGTGCATCCATACAAAAACAGCTCACTGTAGTTAAACTGACATGGGGATTCACAAGCTGGTAATTTGCTAAAAATTCTGACTGTCTTGTAAATGTAGAAAGTCTTGTCATTTAAGTATTTTATTTATTTAGTATAATTTTAGAATATTTTTTATTGTAAATTCACGTCAAGTGAATTCAAGTTAAAATTTAAAGTAAAATAAAGTTAAAATTTAAAGGTAAAGTAAAGGTCATGAATCTCATACAATAAAAATACAATATAATATTTACATCGTAAGTGAATAGATAAACAAACATGTTGATATGAAAAGCTAAAATGAATTTATCAAAGAATGTTTTCTTATCAGAATACAACACCTCAATACTTTCTATTTATTAGATTATTTATTTGTTTTAATTATTTTGAAATGGAGCCAAAATCCTCTTTCTTAAAATGTAAGGAAATGGATGTGAGCAAATGAATACCTTCAGAACCGTTTAAGATATCATCCAGAATAATGTGAAGAACAGGGGAAACCTTGAATAATGGTTCAGATGTTAAACACTGACATTACGCCAAAGTGACATTCTCACCACTGTGCAAACAAAGTTGGAGCTGTAATTTGCTGTAATTACTGACCATCTAATCCTCTATTTACCACCTGGTTTGTGAGTCCTGAAGGCTTGTCACATATAATAATACCCTCATACTTCCCTTCTCAGTATATTTGTTCTGTTTAGCGAAATCATAAGATGGTATTGTCTTACTTTGCATACAAAAAGATAGATTATATAGTACAGTATACCTGTGGCTTAGTGTGTGTGTGTGTTTAATTGTTTTCATTGGTCTTTTTTTGCTTGGTTAAGTTCCTCACCTTACATTCTTTAATACTAAAGTTCCATTGAAAATCTTAAAAAGACATATTGCAGAGGAAAGCACAGCAAATAACGTCTTTATACTCCATGACCTCATAACACTTCAAGTTAAATAGTAAACCATTACTATTTTCTGTGGATAAATATTCAAAACCATAGTGGCTGTTTCAAATGAACTTTTTTGCCTCTTTTTTAATCTGATGCTGGTGCTGAATCAAATTATTACAGACAGCAGATGGCTGAGTCTGGACAACCATCTCTTCGAAAGGATAATTGTGCAGCCTTTTTGTTGGATAACATGCCTTTTTTATTAGTTTCTATGTTTCCATAAACAAGCCCTTTTTAAATTTTCATTCATTAAGATGCAAATCTCTGACCTTGTCAACATTTCTGTATTTTAAGAATATTCTTACAATTTTAACAAATAAGACGCAGGTAAATTAGTCACTTTTGATCAGAAATTAAACTGATCATTGACCTTGATCAAGAAATGTTCCTCTGAAATAAAGAGAATATGTGTGACTGTGTGTTGACAGGCCAGTTTTACAGAACATTCAGAAATTTTTATTCTAAATGTTGTGAGGATTCAAAGCAGGATTACCCCTTCAATCAAAGCAAATGTAACTCGCTTTCTAGATGGAGCCTCAAGCAATTCCATGCTTCCTCAGGAGTTTACTGGTGAACCTCAGCATGCCATTCTCATATCAAGCATTATTTACATATTCAGAGAAAGAGGAGGCCCATGATATGTTTGGGCAAAGGGGATCATTTAGTGCAGACTGCCTGAGGAGAAAATGTTTTTACCTGCAATTGCTGTGTTAAATTTGACAAACTTGCACATCCAAAATGAAAGAAGTGCGATAATTTTTGTACTTGAGCTGTAGCTGTTTGTTATGAAGTGTGTACATTTATGTCACTCTCTTTTCAACTCTTTCTTTTAGTGGATCAGTTTGTGTGCCACAATGAGGCCATTGCAGATATTGTAATCCTGGTGGATGGCTCCTGGAGTGTTGGTCGGGTCAACTTCAGGCTGGTCCGCATGTTTTTGGAAAATCTGGTGAACGCTTTTGATGTTGGCACCGATAAGACAAGGATAGGTGAGTCCTAACTGTTCTCCTCCTAGAATAGATTGCCACAGTCAGGGATCAGTAGTGTAATCTGATGTTATCCTGGT